CAAGATATTGCGAATTTGAAAAAACTGGATTCGAGAGAAATGTCTATAAAAGACTAATTGATCCTTCTAAGACTAGTTGAAGGTATGTATGATGTTATATACAAACATGAGATCCTAGAACGGCTACAAAGAAATGATATGAATTTAGAAGAAAGTGTAGAACTTTTGTAGCAATTAGGATTAATTAATGAATTTAATAATTCTAAAAACAAGATGGAAGCAAATAAGAAAACTAAAATCCTAATTAAATGCAAATGTTGCAACAAAAAGCACGAAAGAAACAAAAACGAATGTCCAGCCCTAGGAAAATTATGTTTAAACTGTAAAAGAAAAACCATTTCCAATCTGTGTGCAGATCTAAAAAGAGAATAAATAAATATAAACTTTCATACTGAAAATACACAAGTAGATTCGACAAGAGATACAGAGATACTGTAGAGATACAGTAAAATTCGATTATATAACTTTTCCCATGCAAGTTGACACGGGAAGCGATATTACCCCAAGGAATTTCTGGAAAAAATGCGTAAACCCAAATTAAATTTGATGGGTTCATCATCAAAACTCTAGGATCTTTGAAGGAAATTTCGAGACAAAAAACTGTTTTGAGATTATTCCCATCACTATTGTAAAAAAAATCATGAACTCCTAGGAATATGCATTTAAAAGTAGATACAGCGAAATTAATAAAATGTATAAAGTCAGAAGAACCTGACATAAGACTATTAAGCGAGTGTTGATCTAAAAGAAAAGTCACCTGATCTATTTTGAATGTCGAAAAATTCCTATTCACATTCTACCCATGGCAATTTCAAAACTAAAGAAAATGATAGAACAAGCCATTTTGGAGAAAGTTACCCAAGGTGGTAGCAGTTGGGCTTCACCAACTGCTACCGTTGCGATACGGAAGCCCAATAGCGATTTGAGGATATGCAGGGATTACAAAGTAGGTGTGAATCATCAGATATTCTCTAATTCATTCCCCTTACCTAACATAGAAACGACATGAATTAGCAGGAATTAAATACTTTGCCAAGACTAGACTGAAAGCGGCATATAACCAAATAGAAATTGACAAAAAAATTAAAGTCACTACAATTAATACTCCATTAAACTTACTAAGATGCAGTTAAGACTTCAAGCCATATTTTTCAAAAGGCAATTGAAAAAGTTCTATAGTAGGTAGTAACAAATATAATCATATATCAAGACGTTATAGGCATAAATACTCACAGTAAAGAGAAATTAAAAAAAACTGAACAAGTTTTAAACATATTAAAAAATTCTGATATGACGATAAATAGCGATAAATGTGAAGTAAATTGCGATAAAATATCGTATTTGGGATACTAAATATCTAAAGAAAGAATTTCATCAGACAAGAAACAGATAAATAAAATATTGGAAGTATCTACACCAAAAAATAAAAAACAAATTAGAATCCATTTTAGGATTGACCAATTTTATAGCAAATATCTAACTAGATACAGCGACCGAATAGAACCATTTGCAGAATTACGGAAAAAGAATTCATAATTCAAATGAACTCAAAGGCAAAACATTTTGAATGCTTAAAAACGACACTAACAAGAAAACCGATTGCAAAAAAACTTTGATCTAAAACAAGAATTGGCATTCTCTACGGATGCAAGTGAACATGCTGTAACAGCAATTTTATCTCAAGAAGGTCTTCCAATAATGTACCTGAAGCTAACTACTTAAATATTGAGAAAGAAGCGTTAGCAACAGTATGGAGCATAGAAAGAGCTCGAAATCTTTTGTTAGGACGAAATTTTTTGTTAAAGTCAGATTACAAACCTTTATAGTTTATATTTAACTCCAGAAATGAATTACCAAACGTCACATCATCTATAATTTTAAGATGGGCTATAAAACTCATGGCCTTTGATTTCGACATCATATAGGTATAGGGGAACACTATTCGACATGTGAATGCACTATCCAGACTAAATTTCGACAGTAAAAAATTAGAAACATTCGAAAATTTATAAAATACTGCAGTGGATTGAAACGGACGTGTTTACCTATAAATCGTCTCAAAATCGAAACCATACAGGATCCAGTGTTAAGTAAAATTTCAGACAGAATAAAAAGAAACACATGGAGAAAATCTCTACAAAGAATCAAGACATAAGTTAACTGTAGAGAAAGACATATTATGCAATGGAGATATTATAACACCCCAACAAAGTTTAAGAAAAGAAGTACTAAAAGGTGTACACAATGGGGTACTTTGTTTTATAACAGCAACACGAATGAGATTAAAATTACAAGCGTGATGGCCAGGAAATTCTCGAGATGAAGAAGACTATATCAAAAGAAACCCGAAATGTGTTGAAATAAAAATACTTTCGGAAAAACAAAATTCACTCGTGGCCTAAAGATAAAAAAGAACCATTATGGACTCGGGTACACATGGATCATGCCGATATTAATAGAATGAGTCTGTTTTTAATTTTAGTGAACTCATTTTCAGGATGTCTCGAAGTATTTAAGGTTGTTGACAGAAAAGCCATCACTATAAAACAAATATTGAGTGCAATATTTTCAAGGAATGGGATGCCTGAAATTTTGGTCTCGCCAGAATTTTGCGAAGAAAGTTTGTTCTCTTGGCTAAAGCTTATTGGATGCGTCTCGTATAAAACACCACCCACAATTGAATGAAATCGCAGAAAGAATGGTGCAGGCTGTGAAAATGGGACTAAAAGCATTTCCTCATCTAATAATAATATACAGAGTTACTCACTAAGATTGCTGTTAAGCTATAGGACAATTCCACATGCCGGGAGACTACAAAGTCCCCCCGCATTAATGGGTCGACAGATCAAGTGAAAGTGTCTGGTATAAAATAAAAGACAAAGAATCTAATCCAGAAAAGACAAAACTTTGTAGTACAGAAAGGACACAACACAGCAATACTAATGAAAAATGGACAAAATATACTGACCCCTGCGGATCAATTCAGAAGCAGAATGGAACCCGAGGATATAGAAATGGACGAAGAATCTGAAGTTGAAGAACATGAAGGGGAGGAGGGGACTAATGAACCCTGTAATGAAACTGAACAATCTATGGATGATTATGACCAGAAACCTTACAAGGTGTCGAAAGAAGAAAATGAACTCAGACCTAAGTCTCCTATAAGAAGAAATCAAGATACACACCAAGAAAGACAGTTTAGATTACCAAGAATAATTAAAAGTCAAAGATCATCGAAAAGTATAAAGCCATTTTCAGTTCAGGGAGGTGTACTATTGGCATAGTGGCATACTGCTATAAAAGCAGTATGCCACAGCGAATACCAGTCAAGCTACCATCTGTTGACCTGACAACGTCTATTCCATACTCTACTTCCTAACAGCCTGTCTATCTAAAATTGAGTCAGTCTTTTGTTTGAGCCTAAGATAACAAAAGTCAAATTAAAAATTGTTTCGATCCAAGATGTCCGTCTTATAAGTCATTTGTTTAACAATTAGTGCGTTTTAATATTAATGATCTTGAAGAAAACATGAATCCAATTTTCTTGCGTTCGGTTACATTGGCAGTTAACTTGTTATCAATTGCTTTAAAAAGAAGAAAAGGAAGCAGACGTAGAAAATATTATGAAAATCAACTGCACTTTAAACGATCCTAAGCCCAAATACTCCCGTAAAAGATAAAATTTGCATTTTGTTTATAATTGACAAGGTTTTTTTATATATCTTTATCTACACGATTTCTTTTTGCCTTATTTCTTCTTTTTTTACTTGACGCTCTCTTATCATAGTCCATTAATATTCAGTTTGGTTTGGCTTGAGAATTCTGTCATTTTGATAAATAAAAGGTAGCCATGAGTTTAGTTTGCAGGCGAATGAAAAATATTCGGGTTTGGTTTACACTTGTGTCAAAAAGATAGACATAGGTATATTGTGTACGTGAGTTTAAAGGGTAGACATAGGTTTGGTTTGCACGACAGTCGATAGGGTAGATATCTGATGTACCGTCCCTTAAGGCCGTAGGCAATCATGGCTCTCGACAAATTCCTGTTCTCCATAGCTCTTAATAAATCTTGCCTTTTTGCTATTTCAACCTAAACCTTTTTTTCCGTTATCCATTTACACAAACTCACTAAGTATGTCATGTACTGTTTTCCTTTGTCCCTTTGGCCTTCAATCTGTCCTGTGAGTATCAGATTTTCCAAGCCCCCTTTCCTCATTATGCGCCCTGTCTCTTCCTGATGTATCCTTTTGTTTCCATTTTCTATAAACTTTCGTCCGTGGTATTCTCAGCTTCCTTCTGTAGAACTATATTTCTGTCGCTTCAAGTCTCTTCTTCATCTTTGAGAAGATTGGTCAGTATTCACTGCCATATAGGATGACTGATACTGAACTCTTACGTGATATCAGGGTAGATATAAATATAGTAAACCGGTGGCCCCCTTTGACTCTTCTGCACGGTTATGCAGTCGGCATATTCTTGCCCCACCCACCCAACCGACGGGGCGGATCACCTGTATTCAGTATTTGCATTTCTTTCTCTTTCTGTGTCATTATGTTTATTCTTTCCTCTTTTATATCTTTCTATCTTTATTTCTTCCTCTGTTTTCTTTCTTTCTTTCTTTTACGTTCTCTTTCCTCGTTTTTTTTTCCGTTGTCGCTTCTGACTATGTATTTCCAACATAAATGAAGTGACTTTAGCCTTATCAAGGGAAAAGACGGATTAAATCGAAAATAACACAAAAATTAACGATAATTTAATTTGTCTTTTATTCTTGTTCATTGTCGCCGCCGTCGTCGCCATCGCCGTCGCCGCCATCGTCGTCGTCGTTGTTAATCTATTTCATCGCTTTGGATATCTGTTTCTTATCTGCTTAAACGCCAACGTAACTCATTCTTTTCTCGCTCACTTCAGCTCCTTTCTGGATACGAGTGGAATTAGTTTTGAAGAGTATAACTCTTAAAACAAATCAAATACTCTTTTCCTTTTCATATCAAATTTAGAATTTTATTTCTTACACTCTCTTAAAATTCTTTTTTTATTATTCTTTTCTCAAAATCATTTTCTTTTCCTTTCTTCACTTCCTTTTATCGACAATTCTCTCACTCTCATTCATTCTCATTATATCTATTTATCTTCTCTCTTTCTCTACTTCTCTCTTTCTCTTTCACTTCGTCTTATATTTTTCTACTTTTCTTTTTGTTCTCTTTATCACTATTTCTCTCATTTTTATTCTTTTCTGTTTTTTTTTTTAATCTTTCATTTATCCTTCGTTCAAGCCTCTTGTTCTCCAATGACAAAATTTCAGTTTTTTTTCCTTTTCGAATGAAATGCTTTACTTTATCTTATTCATTTTCGTCTTGCATTTATTCAGTTTTCTTCGACATTTCTTTCTTTGTTATAATTTTCTTTTACTTTTGTCATTTTATTTTTTGTTCTTTTTTCATTTTTTATTTATTTTTTCATCACTTTCCTTTCTATTTTCCTTCCGTTTTCTTCTTTCTATCTTTCATTCTTTTTCTCGTCTTTTTTTCTTTTTCTCGTTTTAACGCCTTTTTCTTTTCGTTTCTTGTTGTTTTCGCATTTTTTATGTTCCCTCTCTCCTCCTTTATCTTCATACTTTTTCCATTCTCTCCTTCCGTTTATGTTCACTTTTCCTCTTCGTCCTTCTTCGTTATTTTCTTTCTTAATTTTTCCTATCTGCAATTTGTTTTATTTTTTTTACTCTTATTTTTTTCTTCCATTTTCTTTTACTTTCTTTCTTCTTTTTTACCCTTTTTTTCTCGCTTCTTTCTTTTGTCTTTCTTCACTCCTTTTCTTTTCATCCTGTCTTTTTCGTCACTTCCAATTTTCAATTTCCTCTTAAAACAAACTTCTTCAGTAAACGTATTTTTCTTCTTAAACAGCACGCCCCTTATTGTCAACCATCTTGGAGAAACTAAATCTTTCAAGCCCGTCAATCTCACTTCGGATTCACTTAATATCATTCTGCCTTATTCTTCCTACCAAGCCATTCTCCCTCCGCTATTGTCTTTCTTTAAGTCTTAGCCTGTTAATGTGTGCATCTCTTTAGCAAACGGCCCTTCTCTTTCTTTCATCTACAATGATCTTGAGTCACCATTGTGTGTCTGTCTCAAAGATCATTTTTCTTTATCAAACATTCAATCCTACTACGATGAGAACGGAATTTCTATGACGGGCTTCATAACTTACGAATTAAAAATTCATCTGTCATAAAAATTTAACGATATCGGTCCTACATAATCGTCTCATTATCTTTTTTTACGCAACTTAACCAATAATCTTTAGAATTCTGTAATTGTAATTTTATAATTGTTGTTAATGGTGGTGTTATTAATTGTAGTATTAGTAATAATATTATCTTAAATATTATTTGTTTAGATTAACCTTTGCCAGCTAGTACTGAGTATGACGACAAACTACATCCAACAGCAAGGCCTCTGATCAGGAGATTGGAGGTTTTGAGGAGTGGAAACATTTCTTAATTGCACTTTTTCCCAGGTCCTCTCTGATCCGGAGTGGTAGCACCTGTTAGGGTCCCAGCTATGGGCAAATAATGAACCCCTGAACAGTAAAACACTATGAAAGTCTAAAAATACATTTTTATGGTAAAGAGGCCAGCAATACATTTTTATATAAAAATCACCTGCAATACATATTTATATAAAAAATACCAAAAATACATATTGATAGTAAAAAAATACCAACAGTTCATTTTATCTGGGGTTGAAACCATAAAATCGTGTTCAAAATATTTAGACTTCAGCATAACCCATAGAGGTGTTGATATGTCGCTAAACAAAACAAACCAATCTTTGCCAGCCATTTTAATTTTGTGGTTATTATTTCTTTCATCATTGTTTTTCATCATGACTACTTATACTGTCATTAATACGACTTTTAATAAATAACGATTATCGGAAATAAAGAATAAGCTCTCGGCAAGACTTGAACTTGCATCCTTTTTTTTTACTCTTAGGGTGTCATTTGCTTTACTTGTAGTTACAAAAGTTTGCGTTGTTTTATTATTCATTTCATCCGAACAGCAGACACTACCTTTGTTTGATTTTAGTTTACATCCACAATGTCGTATTAATCATAAATTTTATTATTAAATAATATTTATTTATTAATTTATTAATTTTTAATTTTATTTGCTTTTTACCATCACAAAACAGACTGTCATTCCAAGAGGTGCAAGTTCGAGTCTCGTTGTAAACGTATTCTTCATTTCCGTCAGTAGAATGACAATATGATTTGTTGAAATTATCTGTCAAAAGAAATATTAATGTCAAAGAAATATTAGATTAATAATAATTACCACCTTTATATTCCTGATTCTTTCTTTTTTTTAAGTTTTTGACTAAATTCCAGATTATTTTTCTATGTCATGATATAATATCGACTAAAAAATTGTCTTTGTTTAAGAAGACAAGATCTGGGTTCGTGGCCTGAATTGAGAGATACGTTCGATTTTCAAAGTCAATTTTTCTCTCATTATTATTTTCAGTCACTGAATGTTCATTGGTGGTTTACGCTGACAGTCTTATCAGTACTAATCTCCTCCCTGGAGTAGCTGTTTATACCTGATTGGAAGAAAAGTTTCCTTCCAAACAGATATAACCGTGTGTATTACAAATCTTTCCCACGCTTGCAAACACGGGATACATGTGTGAGATCATGTGCTTCTCCATTCGATGACTGAGGGTCTTCGGAACTATTCGCAGAGTTCCGCTAAAAATTGGCAAGATTGTCGCATAACATCGTCAGATTCCTATTAAAATCGAGATACATATCGATCAATCTATCCACCTTGTTGAGGACAACAACAAGGTGGATAGATAGATAAGTATCTCCCTAAATTTAGTACTGGTGAGTTTTTCTAATAACCAAAATCCAAACTTTAATAAATACAATGCTTTTTTACTATCTTGACGTTATTCAACAATATTAACAGAAATATCTTTTTCTTTAGTTGTTTCACTACCCAATTCTTAATGATTGCGAATAAAACTATTTGCAATTTCTGCTTTTTTTTTAATTTCGTTTTTATTTGTTATTATTTTGCTATATGATAACCCAACCAGTTATTCAAAATATTCACAACAAATTATTTACATTGTTCGTCTTTATTGTCATGTTCACGACGTTTCGGCCGTTGTGCGCTCCGGCCTTCTTCAGGCATTTCGAACTGAACCGTTTATCTCGCCCACTGTGGTGGTTAGTTCTAGTTCCACAGTACTCAGTTATCTCCCTTTAATTCAAATTAAGTTTTTGTTCACTACTGCGGTAGCTAGTTATTGAACTCACAACACTTTGGGCCAAGTCATGTAGTGAACATTCCTTCTCTCATTTTCTATTTCTATCGTCAAAAATTAACTGTGCCTCCTTATAAATAGTTTTGTTTGTACTAATTGTTCGACTACGCGGAATAAAATTGTAATAAAAGTCACGGAACACGGTATCACTCCGAGATCTCAACCCCGCTGGTCCCGTTCAGAACTTTGGCACCTTAAGATGCAAAGATAAACCCAACAAGACTGAATCTATTATACACGAAAAAATAAAATCGAAATTCCTTTACGTTGATCAGAGTGAACGCGTAGACCTCCCGGTCGCTTAACTTATGAGCAAATCTTTTGCTGATTTCCTTCAACTGAATAAGGTTATAAAGGAGATACTTAAAAATTGAAATAAATCCTGCTAGGATATAATCATTCTTTAATATTGATTAACTGCCACTAATTATTTCTAGAAGCAGGGGAGATTACAGTGAACATTCCTTCTCCTCCCCTCCTGTCTATCGTCAAAAATGGACTGTACCTGCTTATAAATAGTTTTTTTTGTTTGTTTGGGTTTTTTTTGGGGGGGGGGTACTAATTGTTCTCTTACGCAGAATAAAGCCTAATTTGGGTTACTCTGTTCCGTGTCTATTATTACACCCAACCAACGCTCTTATCCACTGGTCCACTTGAGACATAAGTGTATGAATTTTGGGGATTAATAAACTTGATGTCTCAGTAACAATTTTTACCAGAGCTCATATTGCAATTTTGTTGTTATTATTGCTTTTCTCTAGCAATCCGTATTATTGATCCCCATATTGTATTCATTTCTATGCTTTGCCGGAGATTTTTGTGGCTAAGCATATGTTCTGAGTCATTAAGTTTACGTATTTTCCAGTGATGTTCTCTCTCTATTATTCCAACCTCATCCCACGGGGGTGGGGGGTCAGTAATCTTCCTTTTCCCTCCATATCTGATCAGCTACTCCTGATTTTTCTATTTCTCCTCGTGTTACGACTTTACGATGTTCTTGCAGTCTTACCTTAAGGAGGCGGCCAATTTCTCCTTTATATTTCTTACCACAGCTGCATGGGATGGTGTACACACAGTCCTTAGTCATGTTCTCCTCTATGAGGGATCTTACTTGGAAGAGGTGTCTGCGAAGTGTTGAACCACGTTTGAAGGTCGTCCCGATGTTATATAGACCACAGATCTTTTGTAGTTTTTCCGATAATCGCTTCACATTGGGTAGGCAGACCGAAGCTGTTTTCTGAGTGTTGTTATCCTCCTGTACCCTTCTATCCTAGTTTGTTGAAGCTGCTGCCATGTATCCGGGATAGTTGTTAAGTTATACTGACCATTTCTTGATCATGGGTCTCTGAGTCGCCATTATGGCTTTTTTCTAGATGTTGTAAGCAACGGACGATCCCTTTCTTTACACTGTATGGGTGGGTGGGAGTTGAAGTTGAGGTGAATGTTGGCTTGCAGTATATGGATGTCTTGAACTCTTGCTCTGTTCGAGATATTAGTACATTCAAGAAGGCATTTTCTCTCTCCATCATGAACTGTATCGATGATCTTATTGAGTTCACATGGTCCAGCAGTAGCTGGACCTCTTCCTGGTGTGGTCATTATTACTTTTTGACTAGCATTTTTTCATAAAAGTGAAATTATGATTACTGAAACACTTGTCAAGAATTAATAAGCGATCATTTTAATCATGTTCTGTAAATACTCGTCTAAAATGATTCATTCTTTTGGTCTGACACTCTATATATTCACTTCTTCATTGCATAAACAACCAAATATAAATCAGTTATTCATGAAGTTTCCCTAAACGTAAGAACACTTGGCTATCATTATCTTTGAATTCCTAGCAGTAATGAAAGTCATTATTCTTCCTGGTGTGGCCAGGTGTCAGCTACTTATCTCAGTCATAGGGTTGTTTTTGCGATGTGGATTCTAATGCCATTTCTTCGAAGTATTTCATGTATATGTTTGACATTGCTGGTAATAATGGTGAACCGATAGCTAAGCCTTCATCCTGTCGGTATACGTCTGATCCCATTCTGATGTCTGTTGTTTGTGTACAGGAAATCAGCATCTCCATCAGGTTATCTATTGGTATACTGGTCCGTTCTCCTAGGGATGAGCCCGAGGCCAGTCTGTCCCCGACTACCGGTAGTGCCTCCCCCGTCCATCTGTGCCTTTTTGTATTTAAAATGTTCAGACAATACAGGCGACTACAAACACATTAGACGTAAAACATCACTTCATTTTAACACAGCAACAAAGGGGTTATTGAATTAGGGAAATGAGAGCCGTCCATTATGAGAATATCAATCTGTCTTGAAGGTCACATTTTGTTGATCAGGTGAAGTGGTGTACAAAAGACAAAATTGATTAAGTCTATGACAGGATGACAAGCAGACATTTGAAAATTATCTCGACATCAAGACGAATAACTTCACTCGGCAAGAATTTGCAATTCGATTAGTTTAGCCTATTTTTCTTGTCGTTTTTTGAGTTTATCTTTGCATCTTGAGAATTCCATCATTGAACTTAGTAATGCCACTCTTTCCTTACGATTAAAAAGACCGATTTCAGCGATCAAATTCGTTCGACGACACAGCATAATGAATATTAAATATACTCCGATGTCTACTTCTGAAATGATGTATGAAAGAAAAAGTAGGTTCAAAACCTAGTCTTATACCAAAGGCCATCAGAATTAAGAGCCACAAGAGAAAACTTATTTGAAATCAATCTCTCTCTCTCTCTCTCTCTCTCTCTCTCTCTCTCTCTCTCTCTCTAAAGCTATGATTCACAGAATGTCTCTCTGCGAATCATTTAATGTTCTTAAATATACGTACGAACTCCGAAAGCGTTATATTTTATAATCCAATTTTTCAGAAAATACATTTATTTGGAAAAATATATATTTTTCTAAAAAGAAAATAAATCAGCACTTAAAATTATCTAACGAACTTTTTTAATAATATAAAATAATGGAAAATAGAATTGGAAAATCCTGAAAGACGATCATGGGTTTAACTCATGTACTTGGGACGTTGTAAAACTCGTACCTTTAGACGGTTGTATATTCTGCAGTAAGGTTTAGTGAGATGAAAGTCTAGTGCAGGAAGATGTCATGAATAGCAGACGCTCATAAAACCTCCTTTTGTTCAACAAGAGCCTTTTCAGGGTCGGAATGGGCACTTGCGTGATGCCAAATTATTCTACATGACTTCACTTGAAGTCGGGCTTAAAATTTTCGTTTTCTTCAGGTATAGGATTATCGACGCGAAATGTAGGATCGGTAAGCAGAGTTCAAATTCCAGCTTGACCTACCATGTTTGTTTTCACACAATTCCAGCTTGACCTACCGCGTTCGTTTTCACACATGTATCCTTGGAAAAGACATGAATCCGTTTTTATCCCACTCACTATGGAATAAATAGCAGGATAGATATGACGCTCTAGCTTTGGATAGCAACCAGTCTACGAGAAGGAAAACTAAATTCCAAACACGAAACAACTCGACTATCTTTTCAAGAATTCATAATAATAATAAAGACAAACGAATCAGTGGAGAGCCATGATCGCCTACATTCTGGAGGGAGATTGAATTTTAATTAGAACTATAAACTATATTATCTTAAATTTTAATTAAATGAATAACTGACAACAATTATTACTTTTTGACTAGCATTTTTTCATCTTAATTTCGCTTGCTTATTGCCGGTTAGTCTACGGACATTCTTGAACAGCGGTCTTAATAACGTGAAATAAGATAAAATAAATACTAGTCAAAAACTGGTTACTAATGCCATATGTTGAAATAATAAAATGATAGATAATATTGTTATACAAAAAGTAAGTGAAATTATGATGACAAACACTTGTCAAGAATTAATAAGCGATCATTTTAATCATGTTCTGTAAATACTCGTCTAAAATGATTAATTCTTTCGGTCTGACGCTCTATATATTCACTTCTTTGCATAAACAACCAAATATAAATCAGTTATTCATGAAGTTTCCCTAAACGTAAGAACACTTGGCTATCATTATCTTTGAATTCCTAGCAGTAATGAAAATCATTATTGCCGTCCTGTTTCCGCGGGCAAAGAAATATCAATCAAGAGTGTCAAAGGTGAAAATGAACCAAAGATATATCACTATAAAATATCAATTCTATCAATTACCTGGAGCCAGTGTATCAGAAATATTTTCGCTCTGACAGTTCATGGGAAATGTTTAATCAGGACATCTTGCTATTCAATTAAACACTTACTGGGAAACAACCCAACATCCGTAAATTAGAATCTTTCAAAGGGGGAATGGAATTAGGAATAAATAAGAAAGAGAAGCTTCTTTCTTTGCAGTCCAGTTTCGATACGAGCTAACGTCGAGTTTCCATTAGAGAATTAAAATCAGATTTATTTCAGTATAAGAGCAATAATAATCAAAAAGATTCACAAGTCAATTTTGCATGAATATGTCTCGTCTTTGTCTACGAACAAGAATCTAGATGTTCAATAGTTGGTTTAGTTGATCTCGTTTACCGGCATATCAACACCTCTATGGGTTATTTAATGCCGAAATCTAAATATTTTGAACACAATTTCATGACTTCAACTAAATATGTTTTAAACGCAATTGTATGCCTTCAACTACAGATAAAATGTATTTTTACTAAATAATATAGATTTTAATAGATATTGTTGGTAATATTTTATATAAATATGTATTGCTGGCATCTTCACCATAAAAATCTATTTTTATAATTTCATTGTGTTTAACTTTTGTTCTGGGATTCACTATTTAACCATAGCTGAGACCCTAACACCGAGATTTTCAATAAGTACAGACTTCACGAATCTGTTAGGTTATTATTTGTATTATCATAGAGTTTGAATATGAAACACTTTTACTAAGATATTTAGTTGCAAAGCTGACTATAATTAAGCCAGAATCAAGTTCGTGACAAGCACTTTACTCTTAACTAAATGTATTGGGTTGGAACAAAAGTCCGTCGCATTTTTCAATAGATGACGTTTGAAGACGTGGCTTCAAACGTGACTAAAATTTATGGCATGCATAGACTAAAAGTTAACATTTCAACGCGTCTTTCCATACGATTCGCGTGTAGATTGTGATCATCAACATCGACGGACAGTAGGTAGAAGCCTCACGCCGGGTGTCCAGCAATCACAGCCTCACCGAAAGAACCTAAATTATGATCTTCCGGGTCGTGGTCCTCTCCACCCTTCTGTACGCTTCCGAGACAGGAACCTTCTGTTGTCGGGACATCAGACGTCTGAAGTAGTTCCATCAAAACAAAGCTCCGAAGAATCCATCGCATCACCAACACCGAGGTCCCGTCTTGAACGTCTCTCCCCAGTATCAAGGCTATCATCCTTCAACATCACCTTCGCTGGGTAGGTTACGTGTCCAGAATATGTCCCACTCAACTCCCCAAGTATCATCCTGTTTGGAAATCTTGCCAGCGGAAAGAGACTACGCGAAAGCCCAAAACGATGCTTCAAAAATCAGTTGAAGACATCCCTCACACAGACCAACATCAACCCTGAAACTTGAGAAACCGTTACTGCAAATCGGACATCCTGGCGTAGGACCATCTAGAGGGATCAAAATTTCCGGGTCCTATCGTCAACATGAAGAGGACCTGCATTGAGCAGTCAGGAGGGTTCGACACACTCAGTCGCATCCACCATTCTCACTCTTTTGTGATACCTGTTCACGATTCTTCAAGAGTATGCTGGGCCTTCACAGCCATCCCGCCACAGCCACCAGAATAGGGAAAAGGATGCGCATACCGATGCTCGGATGCGAGCGAGTGCCGACGAGATTGTGAGTTTGAAATTCTTTTACATTAAAAGTGAAAATTGCGGAAAATGAGATGCGTTTTCGTTATTTTATGCTTTTTATTTCTAGAAAGTGGGAAACATTCTATAAACAGCAAAACTTCAGAAGGTTCAGAAGTGGAAATATTGATCGAGAAGACATCAAACATTTTAAAATAAAAATGGATTCGAAGATTTTAAAGATTGGCTAGAAAAGTACTAGGTTGGAACGTGCAGTTTTTAAGTGAATTTCTGAGACAATGTTTAGCTAGAACTGCAGTCGTTCATGATGACCAAATCGAAACACTAATTAAAAATAACTCATGTCATACGACACAAATACTACAAATATCTCGACTGATTATTTTTCAGGTATTTATAAACACATGTATACGTGAATCACTAGACCTCATTTCCGTCCGGGATTCTCTACTCAAACGCAACAAAAACGTCAGATTTTAGAAAGGATCACAGGCAATGAAAAATGGATTATTTACAACATTGTGGAGAGAAAACGAGTCTTAGAGTAAATGAAATAAGCCACCGTCAACCTCTTCAAACACCGCTCAGCATCCGAAGATGGTGGCATTGTGCTTTACGAGCTCTTCCCCCCCAAAAATCAAATGTTGAATTTACTCTTAAAAATTGAACCTATTAAAGGTAACGATCAATGAAAAGCGCACGGGATTAGTCAATCGAAAGAGTGTTGTCTTCCACCAGGACAGCGTCAGACCTCACGTCTCTTTGCAAACCCGGCAGAAAGTGGTAGAGTTTGGTTAGAATGTTCTACTATACCCGCCGTACTCACCTGACCTTTCCCCTTTCGATTAACCTTTATTTCGATCCCGACGATATTCTTTTAATAGGAAAAATATCAATTCTTTGGAAGCATATAGAAACCACTTAAAATAGTTCATCACCTAGAAAAATGACAAATTCTGGGAATTATGAAGTCTCAAAGATGGCGAAGGGTACTGAAACAAAATGGTTGAATAAATCTTTTTAAAAAATTCTAAGTATTGACGTAGAAATTCACTGAAAAAAATGCTACGAGTTTTTGTTCTGGCGCTAATAATTTTCTGCATAATCTTTAATGTTTTCTAATCCGTATACTTTTAAAAACTTTAAGATCTACAATATAAATCAGTCAACTTGCAATAATCTAAAGTTTTATATTTTTCTTGGGCTTTCGAAAAGAATATGTTTTTAATGTTCATTATGTCTATATTTGCTTTTTGTCTTTTCATCACCATCCATTCTCTGGGTAATTTTGTGTCTATTTTTATCCAATCCATTGTCAAGGTTTTAATCTAGTTACACAAAATAACACATTTCAGAGAACCACATTTAAAATTCAAAAATTCAAGAAATCAGCGCATACCATATTCCGCCCCCCCCCAAGACACAATTGATGTATGTATTGCTAAATAGCTTCACCTACCCATTCTCCGGGAGTGAAACCTGATTTTAAAACTAAGGAACTGGTTTTGTAATTCGGCGTTAACCTCTTCCCGGGGGAGTTATCTTCACCACGGCTGACACTGAAAAGTTAAAAGATTATTTCAAATGTTGAAGAACAAAGTTTTCAGACGTTATCCTTTTTTTGGTTTTAAGAAAGCGGCAGTTAATGAAATGCAGACCTGTCAACCTTCTGAAACTGTCTCTTCCAATGTAGTCATTAAATGAAACGATTATCAAAATTTTATATCGAATTTTCTTTCAAATTTGATTGCTTTTCAAGCTTACAAAACAATGATTATATAGCGAAACACAATCGTTGTTAGTAAACTGCAAATATGATAAATTGTCAAATTTATCATTAAAAGTATTCAATACAACATAGAGTCTATAAAACGTAAGATAAATAAAAAAATAAATAAATAAAACTGAGGTTACTTAAGTTTCACCCTCAAAAAGGAAAAATTGTCAGGCCATCTTTAGTCTT